AATATGAAAGAAGGCCCCCACCCCAAGTCGACAGAGCACACAACATAACAGCAAACACAGGGCGAGCTTCTCTGAACTCATCCCCAGTCTGTGGGGTAAGTTGCTTCTACTTTTTTCACTCTCTGGTTGAGAAAACAACTCACAGAGCAGTTAGGATACTTGCCCCAAGTCACACAGCAGAGTGGGGATTTGAACCCAGGTGCTCTGTACTTTTCCGTCTGATTCCTATGGGATGGAGTATAAATGGTGCAAATGACGTGGGACATGGACAGTGTGATCGAGTTTTCACCTGGAGCTGCCTCTTTTCTTGGTACCATGTCCTCCCGGTCACTGAATTTTCCCATAAGCTCCTGTGTCCCCTGTCCACCTAAGACCTCAGGAGCCAAGGGAGGGGAGGGCCCTTCCCAAGCCTGGAAGTTTCCAAGCAAGGCTTGACACTCTGGCCTCCTCTTCCTTCTCCACCCATGAGCCGAGCTCCTCAGGTGGACGAGGAGAAAATGAAACAGAGGAGGGAGTGGGAGGAACAGGCAGGCGTCCTCGCCCTGTGGCCTGTGTCTCTCCCGTGACTCAGTCACCTTGGGGGGGGTCCAGCCACCGACATCCCATCTTACAGCCAAACAAACTGAGGCCTGCAGGTGGTTTACAAGGCAGATGGTGTGTGGGTGTTGGGGGGCCTGCTTCCCCCCGGGGGCCCCTTTGCTGCAGTGACCCGGGGCTCCCCTCCCCGCTCAGTCATCATTTCCCACTCCAGACCCCTGGTCTACAAAGGGACAGCTCAGGGGCTTTCTGGAACATCCTAAGTGTTTTGCAATCTCAAAAGAAAAAGAGAGAGATGAAAAGGGGGCTGGGCACAGTGTCATTCCACTACTCAGGAGGCAGAGATGCAGAGGATAATGGTTCGAGGCCAGCCCAGACAAAAACACAAGCCAGGCGTGGTGGTGCTCCCCTGCCGTCTCAGCTACAGGGGGGACATAGGCAGAGGATGGTGGTCCAGGTTGGCCCAGGCGAAAACTCGAGAGCCTATCTGAAAATGAACTAAAGGCTCAGGTGGTAGATGCCTGCCTACCACAAGGCCCTGAGTTCAAACCCCAACCACCGGTAAAAAAAACCAAACGAAAACAACTTGACATTGGGCTGAGGGTATCAGAGTTTAAATTAGAGGCCATGGGCCCTGTCCCATGCCAGGGTTGTCACCCCACCTGGTGATGTTGGGGTGGTGGGACTTGGGTGTTTGCTGGATGGGCAGAGCTGTTGTCCTCGTGGGCTCTGTGAGCGCAGGCTCATCCCGTACACCTCCCCAGCCTTGGTTTACCCCCGATGGGATGGTGAGGCACTCAGGACATGGGCTGCCTTGGTCCTCATCCCAGGCAGCCGCTGGGATGCCCTGCCCTGGTGTGGCACGGAGCCCTGCGTGGGCCTCATGAGGCAGCTCATCGCGGCTGTGGAGGTGGAGGCAGATGAGGCAGAGGCCTGGCTCTGTGGCTGGCCTTCATCCCACAGTCCACGGCTGCCATGGTGCACATGCTGCTGGTGAGCCCCAGCCCCCGCCCTGGGCCCCTGCCTGGATGCAGGTGGGTCCTCCATCCTGGCACCTATCTCCACCTGTCTCCTTGGGCTGCAGTGTTGCACGCAGGCAGGATTCGATATCTGAGGTCTGGGTTCAAATGTTCACAGTGTGCCTCCCTGCTGTGTGATCTGAGTCAGTGACTTAACTTCACTGAGCCTGGTTTCTGATCGTAAAATGAGAGCGAACCTAGTGCCTGCGTCCTGGGCTCGTGGTGACTGCATGTGAGTAAGCTCCTGGTGTCTGAAGCAAAATCTCAGCAGGACAAATTGGAGCCGCTGTTGTCATTACAAACAAACGCAGTTGATGAGTTTTGCGATTGGGAACGCCATGGGAAAGCAGGCCCCTGACTCACAACCCTGCATGGAGGCCTTGTTTACTCTGTGAAGTGGGCACTGTGTCTCTCCTTGGAGACACCAACTAAGATTGGACCTGAGAGGCGTCACCCACAGTTCACGGCCTAGTGAGTGACACACTGGTTGCTAGGGACAGGAGCACCGTCCAAGACCGGCTCCATGACCATGTCCCTCCCCTCCCTGTCTCCCTCCATCACTTATCCACTCACTTTGTCCCTCACCTGTGTCACCAACCTGAGGTGAAACTTTAGCTGGCCCAGCCTCAGCTGTCCCCACCTGTTTGGGTAGGGCTGTGTACAGGGACGTGTAGAGGGAGTGGCTGCTGGTGGCACTGGTGCCTTTGTCAGTGTCCCTGTCACCCACCTGGGGAGCCAAACTGGCGGAGTCTGTTCCTGCGTCAGGTGCAGTCTCGGAGCTCTGGGCACGCACGCCTCCCCGTGCTGTTTGTGCTGGCTTTGTCCGTGTGCCCAGCAAGGACAGGCATGAGCTGGCCTGGGGACAGAGAGTGAGGGAGAGGGAGGGGGAGAGGAGGGGGAGGAGAGGGAGGCGGAAGGAGGGCGAGAGTGTTTCAATCAACTCTTCATTTCGGGGTAATTCTGGGTTTCGAGGAAGTTGCCAGGATGCAAAGTCCCCATGCTCCCCTCCCTGACCCCCCTCTTGTTACTCTTATGAACTTGTCACTGTGGACACTGTGAATTGCGTGTGTGACTATTAAGTAAACTCAAGACTTGGGTCCCCACACTTCCCCCAACGTGTCATCCTTCCCAGGCCTCCTCCAGGGTCCACTGCGGTCAGCCGGGATTGGTGACTGTGATGCTGACCTTCCCCGCTGTTCCTCACTCTGTCTGCTCTTGACCTTGTCACACCCCTGGGTTTGGGGGTGCCCCAGAGTCTGGCTTCCTTCACCCGAGTCCTCCGAGGGACTCATCTTCTCTCATCTGTTTGGACTTGGTTCTTTTCCAAGTGGAGCTCTTGCTGAGCTTCCTGGTCACTTCCTCTCTTCGCTGTGTCTTTTTTTTCTTTCATTTTTTTTGAGCTAGGGACTTGCTATGCAGGCTAGCCTTGAACTTGTGATCCTCCTGCCTTAGCCTCCTGAGTGCTGTTATTATAGGTATACACTACCAGGCCCGGCTTCATGGTGTTTTGATAAGCCAAAGTTCTTCATTTGGTGACATCTCATCCATTGATTTTTCTAGTGAGCACTTTCTGTCCCCAGGGTCACCTGCCTCCTGGTTCCTCTTCTGTCAGATGCATGTTGGCTTCACCTTTGGGGAGGGCTACTTTGGAGTAGGTGACTGAGCTCAAAGTCACATTGGATGGGAGAAATCAGAAAGGGTCGTAGGCTTAAGGATGATTTTGTTTTTCCATTGAGAAATGACTCAGCAAAGAGTGGCGGTCTTAGACCTTGTTTTGTTTTGTTTCGTTTTGTTGGCAGTGCTGGTGATGCTCTGGAATTCTCGGGTGGTCAGGGTCCCTGTCCTGTGCTTAGATAGAAATCAAAGGCAGGAACTCAAGCAAAGATCAAAGGAATTTTATTTGCAGAGAAGCAACAGAGAAGGTCACACGGACAGACACACATGGGACCCAGAATCTGTTAGTCCCCTGAGTCGGGTTGGGCGTCGGGTTTTATAGTTTTTTATAGGAGTGTGTTTCTGCACGAAGATTTTGGCGTGAAAAGACAGGCATCCCCCCCCACCCCCGGCTAATCGCCATCTTTGGGGAACACATGGACTTCCTGCAGTCCACCCTTCACTGGAGTTGGAACTCAAGGCCTACACCTTGAGCCGCTCTACCAGCCATTTTTAGTGAAGGGTTTTTTTCAAGATAGGGTCTCAGGAACTTTTTGCCAGGGCTGGCTTTGAACCTCGATCCTCCCCATCTCTGCCTCTTGAGTAGCTGGGATTATAGGCGTGAGCCACTGGCACCTGGCTTAGACTTTCAAGCGAATCGAACCCCTCGGAGTTAGATTTATGCATCTCGTCTGATTCTTGTGAAAATGAGGCAGGCTGGCCTTGTGGACACATCCCAGGGTAGCCAGTGATGGAGCCAGCCAGGTCCCTACCCTCCGAACCACTTCCACAAGGGCCTGATGTTGTCACACTGTCCCCACAGGGCCACCCAGAGGGACCCAGGAGGCCTTCCTGTGGGCCAAGCTGCAGAAGGCAGGCTTTTGTCCCACCGAGGCAGCCTGCTCTGCCTGGCAGCCTTTCTGGGCACAGCAGGCGGCAGGGCCCCCTGGCAGGCAGGCTGTCCTCATCCTCCCTTGTCTGAGCACTTCTCCGTCTTCACTGCCCCATTCCTGTCCGGGTTAAGGAAACAAGGTTTATTTTCTTTGGCCAAATATAGAAAAAAATTGAATGTGCTACACACTGTCCTGGCTTTTCACAAAGACACACAGTGGGACACACACCAAGACTCACCCACCCTGAGACTCTCACGCCCCCTGAGATGTAGGTTCCACACGCACATGACACATGGCATGGAACCGCAACCGTGCTGACGCCCAGGGAAGGGCACAGAGATCCACACACGCTGATGCAGGCACTCGAGGCCTGCCCCTCCCCGGGATGCTCACAGGGGACGAGCAGGGACACACGCCACGCGGTACGACATTGCAAGACACACACACAATGGGGCATGCACACCAAGACCTGCACGCGTGTGGCGTACACGGGTGCACCATGCCTGTGCACAAAGGCACATACTGAGACCTGTGCGTCCACACAACAGAAAGTTCACACACAGTGCCATCAGGGAACGGCCATCTGCTCCTGGACACCAGGTTCTATGGGACTTGCGCAGACACTGATGGAATGAACTCAGGGCTGTGTTCACCTGCTGTTTGCAGGCAGCTGGTAGCTTAAACGAGCTGTCGCCAGAATTAAAAGATTCAGGTTTGCATTTAGGGAAGTTATAACAAAATATGGGAAACACAGCACTTCCTGGTCACCTCCTACAGGTACTGCGAGCTTCTTTCTGGTGATGGTGGCCGGGTTGCCTGCTGGGACAGCCCCCTCGGTCCCACGGTGGGAGGCAGGCCCTGCAGCTGTGGCCCTGCTCCCCTGCTTTGGTCTCCTTAGGAACACAGAAGAAGGACTGTGACCTCCCCTTGGGGATCCCAGCAGGAAAGTGACCAGATGCTGGCTCCCTCGCTTTGCCATTTGGTGCAGAGAGAACCCCGGCTTTGTTTGTCACGTGTCACATATCCTGGGAAGTTCAGGAAAGCTCTTCTGCCAGGTGAGGTGGGGTCAGGCCCTTCGTGCAGGATTTTCTTGAGTCCTCCTGGGCACCTGCACCCTACTGTCTGACACTGGTGACTTAGACCGGCTGTGCTCCACCTCGGCACTGCTGTCACTTGAAGCTGGGTAACTGTCACAGGGGTGGGGAGACTGTCCTGTGTATCAGAGACCATTAAATGGCATTCCTGGTCTCTGTCCCAACCAATAGCGCCCTTCCCTACCTCTGAGTGATGGCCAAAAATGTCTGCAGCTATGGCCGACTGTTCCTCTCCCCGCTCTTGAGCCTATGGGGTGGTTCTACCTGACTGCCCTTAAAGGCCTTTGCGGTCCCTCTGAGATGCTCCCTATATGACCCATGTGTCCACATCCTCAGGGGAGGGGACCAGGTCCCAGGTAGATCTGTGTGTTCGGCCGGGGAGAGGCCTTGGTCCTGACATCTCAGCCCTGGTGCACAACCTCTGTGCTGCTCTGGACGGGCCCTGTGCACAGCTGCCTGGTGTCAACTCCCTCGTGGCAATCCTGGGAGAGGCCTTGGGTGCAAACCATACCTTCCAGGAGCCCTTGGGTGGCAGCCAGGTGAGCCTGGCTGGTGTCTGGGCCCTGGCCCCAGGCCTGAGCCTGGCAAGCAAGTCCAGGGGGCGTGGGGGGAGGATGTTGGGGGACGGTGGGGCCAGGCGTCCTCCCCCAGCCTCAGGTCCCCTCTCTGTCCCTTTCAGCTCCAGCTCATGCTGAAGGCAATGCCGGCCTGGCTGCCACAGTCCTTGTCCCCGTGCTGAGTGCCCGTGCCTCCCCGAGTGGCACCCCTGAGATCCGGCTGGCAGCTGTCCTTCCGGAGGGTCCCCTGCTCCGTGCACGTGAGCTCCTGTGCCCGTTCACTGGGGTCGCGACTGTGCAGTGGGCGTTCTGAGCAGTCTGTGAGTCACGTATCTACTGAACACGGGCTGTGCACAGGCTATACTGGGACAGGCACCCTGTGAGCAGGTGCCTGGCCCTCGGTTCTTCCAGAGCCTCTGCCTGGTGGGGAGGAGGCAGACTATTCACCAGAGCATCACAGGTGAGCAAACGGTTACAGCACCGTCACGGGTCCAGACCCTCCAGTGCGGGGACGGCAGACCGCAGGCCACAGGCCGCTTCCTGGTCTGTTTTTATAAATAAAGTTTTATTGGCACACTCATTTACTGGTTACCTGCTTTGTAGCTACAACTGCAGAGCTGAGTCTTTGCCAGAGAGCTAGTGTAACCATCTGTCCCTTTAGGGAATGTTTGCTGACCCTTGGACAAATGGTCTCCTGTTGCTCAGAGTCAATTCCAGTGGAATTGCTCTCTGTGTTGTTCCCAGCCCTGCCTCAGGCCCTTTGCACACACTGTTCCCCCTCTTTTCCTGGAACTTCCCCCCATATGTCCCCAGCCTTAGTCCTCCATCTCCCATACATTTGCTGGAAAGTTACGCCCACAGCAAAGTCTCCCTTGACTATTTGGCCTGAACTTGAACTTCCAAGGCAGGGCTCCCAGGCCTCCAGCCCGGCTCCCCCATGGCATGGTTCTTGGTTAGTGACCATCACCACCTAACATGCTGCACGTATCTTACCTGTTCATCTTGTTCGCCGTGCTGGCACAGGAGCACCAGGTGGACGGGGACAGGGTTGGTCTTGCTCACAGCTGTCATCCGGCCTCACTAGGCAGGCGCATCGGAGGTGCTCAGGATGTACCTGGTGTGTGAAGAGGTAGGGGGATGGCTGTGCTGGGAAGGAAGGGGGAGTTGCAGTGTGGGGAGCAGGGGTTGCTTAGGAAGGGGTCTGGGGGCACCAAAACACTTATATTTCAGGTGTGGGCTGTTTTTGTAAATAAAGTTTTATTGGAATGCAGCCTTGCACACCTGCTTACATTGATGCCCATGGAGACTGAGGAGGACTGGGTGTAGATGTGATTGGCTTGGCCCTTGCCACCTCCCGCAGCTGGGCTGCGTGGCAAGCGTGTGGGGAGGCCGCCCAAGAGCTGCCTTAGGGGACAGGCCAGGGCCACACACTGGGTGACAGCCTTCCTTCTGCCCAAGCCAGCGATCCACGCTGTCCTGCCTGTCCCAAGCCCCAGGGGAGGACACGGAGCTCTGCCATCAATGCCTACCTGGCCCTGGCGAGGTGTCCGGGGGAGGAGGGTGAGTGGGGCGAGGGTGGGGAGTTGGGGTGCAGGGCGTCTAGGGGCTTCCTCTCCCACCCCTCTTACTGCACCATCTGGACAAGCGGCCCTGGGTGCCCCTCCCCTGCGTGGAAATTCCTGTCTCTGGGACCTTGTCTCTCCTCTCATGTCCTCAGTTTCCTCATCTGTGACACAGGATGGGAGCTGCTGAGGTCCCATCTCACTGTGGCCAGGTCACACCACAGTCCCCTAAAGAGACTCCAGACAGAGGAGGGACGGGTGTCTATGAATCTCACCTCCTTTCTGGGGTCAGCGAGCTCCCTGCCCCCTCCTTTTTTAGCAGGACTGGGATGTGAACTCAGGGCTTCATTATCACAAAGCAGGTGACCGCTCGAGCCACACCTCCAGCCCATTTTGCTGTGGTTATTTTGGAGATGGAGAGAGGGGTCTCGTGAGCTGTTTGCCTGGGTTGATCTTGAACCTTGGTGATCCTGATCCAGCCTCCAAAGTAGCTAGGATTACAGGTATGAGCACCAGTGCCCAGCAGTGAGCTCCCCTTAAGCAGGGAACACAGGTATTGATCCTAAAGATAAGCCACCATGCTCAGCTAGATTTTCTGGTCTTGGGCCGTCCCCCTAGGCCCTGTGTCTTCTGCCTTTAGCGTGATTCTCCCTAAGTGGGGTGGAGATGCAAAGGACATGACTTTTGCACAGAAAAGTCTCAGGTAGGAGCTTGGGTGTGACTTGGGGGCACAGCGCTAGCCTGCATGCATAAGGTCCTGGGTTCCCCTGTCAGCACCCCAAAAAAAGAGAAGTCCAATGCAGTGCTGCTACCTTCTTAAAAAGGGGTGCTCTTAGATGATGCGGCCAGGTTCCAGACCTGGGGGTGGTGAAGGGGGGTGGGGGTTTTGTTCTGAGCTCCATCAGGGCACTGCTAAGCCCACGTCCCCCCACCCAGGGTGCCAGTCAAGGGCCGTGGGCACCAGGCTGTTTGTTAAGTAGGTGTCTTGTTTGATCTTGTTTTGTTCGAGATGGGGCCTCTCTATGTAGCCAAGGCTGGCCTCAAGGTCTTGATCCTCCTGTCTCAGCCTCCCGAGTGCTGGGATTACAGGCATGAGCCACCATGCCCAGAAGGTGGGTACCTTGTTCCTCAAAAGTCAGCCCTGTTCAGTGGTGGGCTGTTCTAGAAGCTTCCTTCTTCTGCTAGACCCTAATAGTCCCCTCTGCACTTGTTCTGGTTTCGTCTTATACCTCCAGGGACCCTCACAGGTCTCCAGAGTGAATTGCACCCCTCGTCCACCTGAAAGATAACAGCCTTTAGGTCCTGGCTGTGTTCTGGAAACAGCTATGAGATGAACTGTGACTTCATTTTACAGGTGAGGAAACTGACGCCCAGCGAGGTGGGGTGACTGTCCTGAGGTCACACAGTGAACCGGGACTTAGCCTTGGGTCTGAGTCTCATGCCAGGGTCCTTTCCCTTCTGGAAAGTTTGTCTGAGGCTCCTGGGAGGCTGCCATGTGGTCTGGTGTCAACCTGGGCTGACCGAGGCCTTTTTCTCTGGGCTGGACCAGATCCAGGCCCACGGCTCACAGCCCCACGTCCACTGCTGCCACCCCCCTGCAGTGGCCTCTTTTGTGTGGCGTCACCTTCAGCGGCTGCTGGAGACGGATGACCCCATGGAATGTGCGCTCCAGGACGCCCTCCCGGAGGACGTGCTCAGTGGGGGGTCCCTCGGAACCCCGGAAACACTCAACCTGCTCGGCCGTCACCTTCCGCTCAGGCAGGTGTATCCTGGCCCCGTCCTGCTCGGGGGCCCCAGAGGTGTGCAGAGCCCCGAGCTCAACTTCTGGGTCAGGTTCTTCCCCAGGGGCCAAATACAGGTCACCTGCTTGATGTATGTGGTCCACAGCACCTGCCACTTTGGGGAGAAGTCAAAAAGAACCAAGCATCAGCCACTTGGACTTAGGGCCATCTTTTCTCTCAACTGGATCTTTGAAATTTATTTTGTCTGTCTGTCTATCTATCTATCTATCTATCTATCTTTGAGACAGGGTCTGGCTATGTTGCTCAGGCTAGCCTCCAACTCTTGATCCTTCCAGGGCTGGGATTACAGGTGTGTCCTATCATGCCTGGCTCTTATCCTTATTTTAAAAAGAAAAGTTGCGCTCACCACATTAAGAAAAAAATCTGTTTACTGTTCAGTAAAGAAGGGAATCCTAAAAGGAAATAGCAGGACCATGAAATGCTGTTGTTAAATTCTCCTGCAGTCTGTCACCTTCCTGCTGGGACTGTGAATTGCTTTTCCCTGTGTGAAGAAAGAGATCAGATTAGCATCATGGACTGCCCGTGTCATTGTTGTAATTAAGCGTGGAATCAGAAAGGAACGATCTGTGGCTGGTGTCCCTATGCCACCTCAGTCACTCTGGGTGCCTGCCTTGCTTCAGCAGGTGCAGGGGTGACATGTGGCCCTTCCCATCCTGCCCTCCCTCTGCCCCAGATAAGGCTCACAACTGTCTTTCATGGCTGGGGACTGTCATGGGTCTGGTCCTGTCTCAGGTCACTCCTCAGTGGCCGCCCCACTGGTCCTTTCTCCTCTTAGAGTCTGGCAGCCTGGGGGCCAATCTGGAGAGGACCCTCCTCTTCTCTGCCACCTCCTTCCTCCCCCATTGTGCCATGGTTAACCTGACCGTCCATGCTGGAGGAAAGGAGGCCTGTCCTAGACGGGGAGCCGAAATGATCACATCCACCCATCTGTCTGCCCCTCTGTCCTCTGCCTCTGTGTTCTACATCATCATCATCTTCTGTTTTAATTGGGACTGGAGTTTGAACTGAGAACCTCGCTCTTGCAAAGCAGATGCTATGCCACTTGAGCCACTTCTCCTGTCCCTTGTTCTACATTTTACACACATCTACCCACTCACTTTGCCACTCCTTTGTCCACCCACCTAATCATAGATGCATCCATAGGTCTGTCTATCCATCTATGTCTACCCATCTAAGCCCTCCATCCATCTTTCTATCCTCCACCCATCAACTGATACTCCCACCTTCCCATCTGTCTCTGTCTACCTTACACCCACCCATCTATCCTTACTCCCTCTCACTGACCTGTCTGTCCATCCATCCATCCTCTCATCCATCCATTTATCCATCCATCCATCCATCCATCCACCCATCCATCCATCCATCCTCCAATTCCTCCATCCCTCCATCTATCCATCCATCCATCCTCCAATCCCTCCACCCATCCATCCATCCATCCTCCAATCCCTCCATCCATCCATCCATCCATCCATCCTCCAGTCCCTCCATCCATCCATCCTCCAATCCCTCCATCCCTCCATCCATCCATCCATCCATCCTCCAATCCATCCACCCATCCATCCATCCATCATCCAATCCCTCCATCCATCCATCCATCCATCCTCCAGTCCCTCCCTCCATCCATCCATCCATCCATCCTCCAATCCCTCCATCCATCCATCCATCCTCCAATCCCTCCATCTATCCATCCATCCATCCTCCAATCCATCCACCCATCCATCCATCCATCCTCCAATCCCTCCATCCATCCATCCATCCATCCTCCAGTCCCTCCATCCATCCATCCATCCATCCTCCAGTCCCTCCCTCCATCCATCCATCCTCCAATCCCTCCATCCATCCATCCATCCATCCTCCAATCCCTCCCTCCCTCCATCCATCCATCCATCCATCCTCCAATCCCTCTATCCATCCATCCTCCAATCCATCTACCCACCCACTCATCCATCCATCCATCCTCTCACCCACATTTACCCACCATCCATCCTCCCGCTAACCATTGCATGAGAATCCACCCTCTACCTGGTGTTGTACCTGGCACTGTGCTGTAGAAACCTGAGACTGCACGGGAGAGACGTGGTCCCTGTCCTGGGCTCACAGCCCGGGGAGGGAGGCGTGACAAATGAGCGGAGCCAGGGTAAGAGGGTGGCAACTGCCACAGCACGACAGGGAGGGGAGGCCAAGCATGTGCATTGTGCTTCTGAGGCGAGCGCCTTCCCGGGGGAGCAGTTGCTGCCCAGTCCCGGGAGGGGGACTACATGGAGGGGGGATCGAGGACGAGAATGGCCAGCTGTGGGCAGGGAGGTCACAGAAGGATGTCAGGATAGGGAGTGACATGTGATATCGGTGCCTGGCTGTCATGTGGGAGTGGACTGTGGCACCAGTGAGGGGGAGGATAGCACAGGTCTGTGTCCCTGTGTCTGATGCCCTGGGTCCCACCAGCTCCTCCCTCCGCACCCCAGAGTCTGTGGCGGTGCTCCGTGCTGTCCTAGCCCCGCGGTGGGAGGACAGGCTGGTCATCCAGACTGCGGCCTCCTTCTCTGCGGATTCTCTCCAGATGCCTCCAGAGCCTGGATGGAAGGCGAAGGAAGGAAGGGAAGCAGGTGGTGGGTGGGTGGAAGGAAAGGAGGAGGGACAACAAGGGCAGAGCAAGCAAAGGTGGAAGAGGGACAGGATGGGCGAGGATGGGCAGGCAGAGGGAAGGAGGGACATGGGAAGGTTTCATTCATTCAGACTTCATATTTGGGGAACCATCCAGACTCCTAGGTGCCCAGTGCATGACCACAAGCCCCCGTACTCATCAGGGCTCTCAGGGGTCTTGCAAAGAAGACGCACATGTGACAGGGATTGAGGCTGTGTGGTGTAGCACATTTGGCCTGGGGTGTGGGGGACGCAGGAAGGGAGTGATTTGGACTCACGGAGGGCTTCCTAGAGGGGGTGGCTTTTAAACCAGGCCTTAAAGAATCTGTAGGAGTTCTTGCCGGTGGCACCTGTCCACTGAGTACTGCACTTGATGGATTTTCAAGGTTGTGGCTGTTACCTGAGCCCAGTGGCCCTGGGGAGCCCAGAGTTCCCATCTCAAGGCTTCTGGCCCTCATTCAAGTCCCAGACCTACGGCTCATGTGGCTTGTGACTAAACCACCTATCCCCGAGCGCCCGAGGTCCTTTCCCAGCTGGGGCTCCGGCTGGAAAACACTGAGGAGATGGTTCCCAGGCTGGTTGGCCTGAAGTCATTCTGGGGGCAAGAAAAGGACAGAGAGGCCCAGCCAGAGAAACCCCCAGGGCCAGGGCCAGGGCCAGGGCCAGGCCCAGCCAGGCCTGCGTGTCCAGGGGAAAGATCTAGAAAGATGAGAGAACTGCGGCAGAAGGTAAGGGACATGGCCATGATGCTCTGCTGGGCACACACACACCTGACCTTGTGACCGCCTCAGATGCCGGCTCCAGCCTTTACAGCTGAGCCTCAGGGGCCAGGGGATCTGGCTGCCTGTCCTCACAGGGCCATGTCACTGGCCACTGCTGAGTGGTCAGCTGTTAGCTGCCTTATGTCAAAAGTTGTTGGAAAAGTATAACCTACACCCAGGGAAGTCACCACGCCCAAGTACACAGCAGGACACGAGTCCCCATCTCCACACGCCATGTGGCCAGCACCTGGTCATCGTCAGACGCCAGGTCCCTCTGCCTCCTCTCCTAGTTAATTACCCCCGACTCCCACCGAGGTAGCCACCGAGTAACATCCCCGGCATCGGCCGGTTCTGGTTTTAAGAGAGCGTGTTGACGTTTAATCGCACGCACACAGTACACCGCTGACACCTGCAGCGACAGTCTGGTAAATTCTGACCCAGGTGCTCTCCACAATCCTTCCTCCTGCCCTGCACTGTCCCCAGGAGTTACCGAGAGACTTTGGCTTGCTTGGTTTTTAAAAAAAACTTTTTTTGGCAGCACTGGGGTTTGAACTCAGGGCCTCACACTTGCTAGGCAGGTGTTCTTACTGCTTGAGCCACTCCACCAGCCCCCATCCTGGATCTTGATCTTCCTATGTGTGCCTCCTCCCACATATGACGGGTGTGCTTCACTGTCCCAAGCCTTTATCGATTGGGATGGGGTCTCACAAACTTTATGCCTGGTCTGGCCTGTCAGTCCTCCTGACCTCTGCCTCCCAAGTAGCTAAGATTACAGGCACGAGCTACAGCACCTGGCCTTGTATTTGCTTTAAAGACAGGGTCTTGCTATGTAGCCCAGACTGGCCTTAAACTTGCAATCCTCTTGCCTCAGCCTCCTGAATGCTGGGATTACAGGTGTTATCTGCTACACCCAGCTCTACTGCAGGGCTTTCTGTCACTATAGATTACTTTGCGTCTTCTAGAACGTTACATAAATTGCATCATTCAACACGTGTGTGTCTGTTTTTAAAGCATGTGCTTTTTTTTTTTTTTAACTCTGTGTCTTTCATCTTAATTATTTTGGGATTCATCCATTTTGTAGGGTATGCTGATGAGTTTCTTTTCACTGCTGAGTACACTCTACTGTACGGCTGGACTATAATTTATTCATTCAGGAGTTGATAGACTGCTCAGTGTTTGAGTTGCTGCCAGTGTTTTGCTACTAAAAATAAAGCCATGTACGGGGTGTGGGATTACGCCTGTAATCCCAGCTACCTGGGAGGTAGAGATCAGGAGGATCATGCTTAGAGGCCAGCCTGGGCAAAAAGTTAGTGAGACTCCCTTTCAACTCATAAGCCAAGCATGGTGGAGCATGCTTGTGATTCCTGCTTTGAGGGAGGTGTAGGTGGGAGGGTCCCAGTCTGAGGCCAGTGGTGAATGGAGAGAGGAGAACACCAGACTCTATCTAAAAAATGACCCAGAGCACCAAAGGGCTATGGGTAAGGCCTCAAACTACAGTCCTCCCAGTCTCAGCCTTCACGTGGCTAGGATTACAGGCATGAGCCACCGGCACCCTGGCTTCTGATTTCTAAGTATTGGATACAATTCAATCTGTAAAAAAAATGCACCCTGCATGACAAAGAGTGAAGGACTAAGAACCGTCGCTGGCCACTGGAGGCCAGGGAGGCTGGGCAGCCTGGTGCAGTGGGCCCTGCTGGGGTGGGACAGGAAGAGGACGTTAATGGGAAAACCAGTGAAGTCCAAATGAGATCTAGAGGTGTCATTTTGGTTCTCACCATGCACCCTGGTGACATCAGCTGCTAGCCACCGGGGTCAAGGCGGGGACAGGATACAGGGTGGGTGGAACCCTG